CACGCACGCACGCACGCACACAGAGGAAGTTGACATAGTTGATTTACCAATCTTTGGAAGTAGATGTAGATGTTCTGGGTGATTTTAAGAGTAAAATCATTCTTTTAAAAAATGATACTAGGGGCTGGGAAGGTGGCTCAGTGGTAGAGCACTTGCCTTGCATGCCTGAGGCCCTAGGTTCGATTCCTCAGCACCACATAAGCAAAAAGAAAAAAGCCGGATGTGGCGCTGTGGCTCAAGTGATAGAGCGCTAGCCTTGAGCTGAAGAGCTGAGGGACAGCACCCAGGCCCAGAGTTCAGGCCCCACGACTGGACCCCTCAAAAAAAAAAAAGAAAAAAATATGATACTACTACTGGGGCTGGGAAGGTCGCTCAGTGACATAGTGCTGGCTTTGCATGCATGAAGCCCTAGGTTCAATTCCTCACTACCACATAAACAGAAAAGGCTGGAAGCGGCACTGTGGCTCGAGTGGTTGAGCGCTAGCCTTGAGCTGAAGAGCTGAGTGACAGTGCCCAGGCCTAGAGTTCAGGCCCCACGACCACCACCACCAACAACAACAAAATGATAATACTTAATTTGGGGATAAAGCTTTTTGGTGAGTCTGTCTGTTTAGATATCCATTAATTGAGGTTAAGTACCATAGGTTTAATCATGGACAGAACACAACATAAAAGAAGAAATGCACCGGGCACTGGTGGCTCATGCCTGTAATCTTAGCTACTCAGGAGGCTGAGATCTGAGAATCGCGGTTCAAAGCCAGCTTGGGCAGGAAAGTCTGTGAGATTCTGATCTCCAATTAAACAACAGAAAACCAGAAGTGGCGCTGTGGCTCAACTGGCAGAGCGCTTGCCTTGAGCTGAAGAGCTGAAGGACAGTGCCCAGGCCCAGAGTGCAAAGCCTCACAACTGACAAAAAAAGAAGAAGAAAAGGAAGAAGAAATGCAATTTTCTTGTTTAATGTTTTTTTTTTTCCTTTCAGTATCTAGAGGTACTCTATGGAAAGCCTGGAAGGAAAGAGTTGCAAAGCGACCTGCAACAGCCCATGCTTTAAGACCAGATCAGATGGTTAGTGACCAATTTACAGTAAATACAAAGGTTTCTGAAATTCAAGACATGCTACAGGAACTCATAAGCACATCAATGTTTACCAAATTAGAAAACAATGCTCTTAAATATATATCAGCAACAATCACAAACCTTAACAAAGCCTTATCTATACTAAATGATGACTTAAGATTTGTTCGTGCCCAAAATGCTGGTATAGTTCTGGATGAAAAAAATGAAGCAGGTAAAGAACTTTGCAGGAAGATAATAAATGAACTCAGTAAGGAAAATGAAATGCTTCTTCTAAAACTTAAAGATGAAGAGCAAAAATATGAACAGCTTCTTCGATATACCATCTGTGCATCGAAAGCACCATCACTGACTAAAGTTGTTAGCACACAGGGAAATGTGGACAATATTTTAGCTAAAGAATTTGGAATTCTTAGAGATGAAACTGGAATAAAGTGGGACTCAATTATCTCTCATACATCCCAAGGTTTAATTGGAAAGGAAGTGGAAGAGAAGGACAAGGAGGAAGAGAAAGAGCTTTTACTTGAAGAATCACAGAAAGAGGATTCTGAAGATGACATAGCACTGAAAAAAGATGAGACTAGCCAGAGTCAATTACATAGAAGGAAGCGATTGAAAGTCCCACGTCCACGTGAGACCTCTGAAGCAAGCATAAGTAAATATGGGAAGAACATCTTAGAAGTCAAATCTGACCTACAGGTAAAAAAGCAAAAAGAAAAGCCCTCTACTGAAGTCAAGTCAAAGTTATCATCTGAAATAAAAAGCCAAGATGTCACAAGTGAAATAAGCAAGATAAAATCTGAAATCTCATCTGGAAAAGGCAAGTCTTCCTCATGGATTAAAGAAACCACTACTGTAAAAACTACCAAAAGCACAGAAGGAAAAACTGAAAAGACTGAAACTCCCTTCATCAAGAGCACCTTACCACTTCCTCCAAGGATTGAAGATGCCAAAAGTGAAGAAAGTAGTGTAGAAACATTTCACAAAGCTGTATTGGCTTTCCTAAAATTGAAAACTGAAAATCTTGTACAGCCTTTTGATAAAAAGAGTGTGATGAAGGAAGAAGAATTAATAAAAAGAGAAGAAGCTGAAAATTTAAGAAGCATAAAGGCAAATATGGAGGAATATTTCAAAAATGTGGCTGATACTGTGGTTTCGGTATTGAGAAAATACAAAAATATACAAAAGGAAGAAAAAGTTGGAGAGACATCTATGATAGAAAAACCGGCAGTCGCAGTTACACCAGGATACAATTTTCAGAAGTCAATTCATACAAAGTCTGATATAAGCTCCTTCCTCGCAAATGAAAACTTAGACCCAACAATTAGCAATATAGTACAAATGATCTGGGACGAAATAGAAAGTGAAAGACATATTCCAACAGTTTTGACAGAAAAGAAAGATCACAAGGAAAAACTGAAGCAGAAAGAATATTTGCAAGAAAAAGTATCTGAAACATTTGGCATGGAGAGAAGGTATAAAGATGACCAGGAAAAGTCCAAGTGGGAGAAGTCAGAAGAATGGAAACAAAGAGGCCCTGAAGAGAGGGAGGAGGGAAGAGAGATGAAAGAATCCAAGAAAACAATTAAAGAAAGAAAGGTGCCAGAAGAGAAGAAGGGAAAGGAGAAGAGAAGGCAGTCATCACTGAAACTGAAAGCTTTGAAGCAGAAGCCTCAGATAGTTATAGAGGACACTGACAGCAAGAAGCAGAGCATGGCAAAGAATAAGGAAAAACCTACTAATGTTCTGCAAGCTATGGTTACTCAGAGTCCACAGACGTTAGATCCTAGGAAGAAACAAGTAACAGGTGCACCAGGAATGGAGGATCAAAATGAATTTGAGAAATCAGAGAGTCTTTCTACTGAAACACAATCCTTACAAGTCACTTCTCCCACTCCCCAGCACTTCAGAGCACCTAAGCTTCTCAATATTTCTGCAGAAATACATAGAAAGTCTACCAGTCTTACTCCTAAGGCCAAAGGACGAAAACCTATTCCTACTCCTCAGCAGAGTCAGAATACAGAGCTCACCTTTACCCCTGAGAAACCTCCAAGTACAAGTGTATCCATTTCTACACAGGCACTGGATTTAGGGATCACACTCTCTCTGGAACAAACTCAAGCAACGAGGGCCCCCATTGCTCCTAAGCAGGCACAGATACAAAAGCCATTTATAACATCGGATAAAAAACAGGCAACACAGAGTCCAATGGTGACTACACAGAACGAGGTTCAAGGGATCACTTTCTCCCTTCAACAGGACCAGTCTCAAAAGATCACTCTCACCCAAAAGCAGACCCAAGCTCAAGATATTAAACCCACCTCTCAGCAGACCCAGGCCAGAGGGATCACTGTTACCCCACAGAAGGCCCAGTCCCTGGGAATCATTCCACAGCAAGACCAGGCTCAAGGAATCACTAACATTGTTCAGAAGGCCCAGCCCCTGGACATCACTTCCAAGAAGGCCCAGGCTCAAGAGATCACTCCCACCCCTCAGCAAGCCCAAGACTCTGAGATCAGTCTCACTCCAGAGCAGAATCAGGCTCTGGGGATCATGCTTACCCCTAAGCAGGGCCAGGCCCTGGGGATCACTCTTACCCCTGAGCAGGCCCAGGCTCTGGGGATCATGCTTACCCCTGAGCAGGGCCAGGCTCCAGGGATCACTCTTACTCCTCAGCAGGATCAGGCTCAGGGGATCCCTCTTACTCCAGAGCAAACCCAGGCTCAAGAAATCACTCTAACCACTCAGCAGGCCCAGGTCCGAGGGGTCATTTTTACCCCTGAGGAGGCCCAGGCTAAAGGGATCATTCCTACCCCTCAACAAGCCCAGGCTCAGCAGATTACTCCCACCCTTCAACAGGATCAGCCTCAGGGAATCACACTCACTCCTCAGCAGGCCCAGACCCGGGGGATCAGTCTAACCCCTGAGCAGGCCCATGCTCCAGGGATCACTCTTACCCCTGAGCAGGTCCAGGCCCTGGGGACAACACTGACCCCTGAGCATGCCCAGGCTCAAGGGATCACTCTCACCCCTCAGCAGACCCGGACTAAGGGTATCATTCCCACCCCTCAGCAGGCCCAAGATCAAGGGATCACTCCCACCCCTCAGCAAGCTCAGGCTCAGCAGATCACTCCCAGCCCTTGGCAGGCTCAGGCTCAGGGGATCATTCTTACCCCTCAGCAGGCCCAGGCTCTGGGGATCAGTCTCACCCCTCAGCAGGCCCAGATTCAAGGGATCACTCTCACCCCTCAGCAGGCCCAGGCCCTTGGGCTCAGTCTCACCCCCCAGCAAGCCCAGGCTCAAGGGATCACTCTCACCCCTCAGCAGGCCCATGCCCTGGGGATTACACTGACCCCTGAGCAGGCCCAGGCTCAAGGGATCACTCTCACCCATGGGCAGGCCCAGGCCCTGGGGATCACTCTTACCCCTGAGCAGGCCCACATGCTAGGGATAACTCTCATCCCTGAGCAGGCCCAGGCTCAAGAGATCACTCTCACCCCTGAGCAGGCCGAGGATCAAGGGATCACTCTCACCCTTCAGCAGACATGGACTAAGGGGATCTTTCCCGCCCCTCAGCAGGCCCAAGATCAAGAAATCACTCCCACCCCTCAACAAGCACAGGCTAAGCAGATCATTCCCAGCCTTTGGCAGGCTCAGGCTCAGGGGATCACTCTTACCCCTCAGCAGGCCCAGGCTCTAGGGCTCAGTCTCACCCCTCAGCAGGCCCAGATTGAAGGGATCACTCTCACCCCTCAGCAGGCCCAGGCCCTGGGGATCACACTGACCCCTGAGCAGGCCCAGGCTCAAGGGATCACTCTCACCCCTCAGCAGGCCCAGGCCCTGGGGATCACACTGACTCCTGAGCAGGCCCAAGCTCAAGGGATCACTCTCACCCCTCAGCAGGCCCAAGCCCTGGGGATTGCTCTTACCCCAGAGCAGGCCCACACTCTAGGGATAACTCTCATCCCTGAGCAGGCCCAGGCTCAAGGAATCACTCTCACTTCTGAGCAGGCCCAGGCTCAAGGGATCACTCT